TCTCTCTCTCTCTCTCTCTCTCTCTCTCTCTCTCTCTCTCTCTCTCTCTCTCTCTCTCTCTCACAGGCTCTTTGTTAGTGACATAGTCATAGGCTCTGTCATGTAACTCCACTTTCCAAATCCTCTGGGTACCAAGGCATCAAGCCTAGTAATTTTCCTTGTCTCCGGTAATACCTCTTAGAAGATGTTATGCCGGGGGGCTACCCAATTTTCTTTGGGTCGTCCCTTCACTTCTTTTACTTCATCTTTTTCTTTTTCTTACTTCTAAACCAAGTCCTCATCAACTCATTCTTATTCTCTTCTTTCTTCTCTTTCTTACCTATTGCTCTTAGCGTTCTACCCCCAAAACTAGAGCTATTAACTTATAAATACATCAGAGAGGAGTTTACTTTAAGTGGATCTCATATTTTCAATTAGAGTTCAAGTAAGGTGTCGAGTTTAGAGAGAGGGGCGAATTCAAACCACGTTGTTGACAGCCGGAGGGCTTTCGTTCATTGATCTAAGAGGGCAGCAGCCCGAGCGTATCCCATGAACTCAACAACGGTGAGGTAGGTGATCGAGTCCACCTCTTCATCATTTTAAAATCCTTTCACTGTTGGAAATATCTATCTGCAAGTAATACACGGGGCACATACGCGCTCGTGAGGTCAAGCGGATGTCCGAGAGGGGGCCAATCGAACTCGAGTCCCTACCCGAGTGAGATAGATCCAGGCCTGGCCAATTGGTGACTCCATTGGAGATATGCTACCCTATAGTTGGTTCGGTCCACACTCAGGCTGATTTCTCATCTCACTGTTTCTTAAAAACTGTTATGGAGCCCAATTACTCATCCCTCATCCAAATTCGGGATTTTATCATCCCCACATTCATAATTTTACCTATGGGAAGTAAGGTTAAACCACCTACTACTCCCATTTATCTTTTGCGAGGTCTCTTAGACCTTAGCACCCGGGCTCAAGCCCAGGACAATTCAGGAAAGGGTCCTCAAACCCCTTGCTCCCTCTCTACCGGCATCAATGGCAAGTCCATTAATGTCAACTGGATGAGCAGTTATAAAACCGCAGCCCTTTATACCCACACTATTACTAGTGGACCCTCCACCAGTCATAAACTCAATAGTGGCTTTAAGACCACTCCACTCCTTATATGATTGGTTCTTCTAAAACCAGCACTTTAGTGGTAACCACAAGGTCACCCCATCTCTACTCTACACGGGCACTACTCATCTTGGTATGATGCCCCACACACATCACGCTCGCGGTTCTATCGCCAGACCATCTAATTCGAATGGTTCCAAAGCCATTCGACACACTCTCACTCACGTCACCATGAATGGTTCAACCATCGCCGTGATGAATCAGGGTAAGTAAAAGCTACCCCCGACCACCTCACCTACTTCGGGTTTCTTGGGACCTTGAGCCATTAAAAGTGGATTTCAAGCCACTCGCGTAATGTATAATACTCACTCAGCTCGGGGCAGCTCAAATGTTGTAACCTAAAGAGCAGACGACCACAACTCAGCCATAGGTCCTAAACAAATATGCACATGCCTACAAAACAAAGTGGTCCTAAGACCACTACACCTGAAAAGGTCGGCATTCCAAATGCTAGACCACTCGCTTTACTAAGGGTCGGTTCCCAAGCCACCCTCAACACTTCTATAGATTACGCACACACATGTAGGTCCAATACTGCTTCGGGGGGAAGGGCCAACAGTACACGCTTCCTTCTACCCCAAAGCCCATGACAACATGGTACTCAAATAACATCCCTTTGAGTACACTCTTGTCCACTCCTTCTACTTCATACACACGAGCCGGCCCTCGAGGTTGGACTCGGAGCAAAATTATGCCCCTGAAGCCAATGGAGCAACCCCTCCCTTCTTCAAACAAAAGTAAGCTTCCAAGGTCGACCCCAGGCTCCCTACTCCCGAGGCACCATGCTTTACCTGAACTGATTGACTTCGCTCTAGTCTCCTTGAGACAAGTCAATCAAGCAGAATGCCACAACCAATTCCAGTTCTAGAAGCAGATTTACTGGAGTTTGTGAATCAAGCAGCAAAAAGGCATGAAAGTGCCATTCATAGGAAAGAGGTCAAAGTCTTCAACTTCAGAAGAATAATTGAAGAAAAACCCGTTTTACCCATTGCGAACTACAGTGGAACCTGAAATGAGCGGCACTGATCAATGCTAAGTCGTTGAGGTATCTTTCTCCATCAAAGAGCCTTATACTAATTTTTAATCCCTGTGGTTAACAAAATATATACTAATAGATAGGAGCATAACTCTCCAAGATCTTGAAACCTATCAATGGAAACACCTACCAAAATCATTAAAAACAAAAAATTAAATCAACCAATATTCTAAGAATCTATGATAAGTGTCTAGCAAAAAATAGGGTGTAAAAACAAAGGAAACTATATAATGAGACCATTTACTTTTGCTACAAGATGGTCACAATTAATCTAGACCATTTGATGTGAAATTGGGTGGCTGCATTTATTTCATTGACCAAGCTCATAGTTTAAAAGAAATTTTCTTGAACTTTGTGACACACCCAAGCTATTAGATTTCACATCGGATAGTTGTAAGTAATCATAACCTCCCTGTACCAAAGGTAAATGGTCTCATTATATTGAATCCCTAAAAACAAATTTAAAAACAATCACTACTTATAACGGTTAAAAGGAAAAAGAAAAGAAACCCACCTCTATGAAGAAGAACATAATGATTTAAACCATAGTTAAAAACTTAGATGCTATAAGTGAATGTGTGATATAGTTGAGACTTGAGATGGAGATGAGTTTATTAAGGTCATAGGTTAGAGATAAACCTATTTGCTGGTTGTTTAGGAAAGAATATAGGGAGATAATGTTTCCCAGGGAGAGTGATTTGGGGAGATTTGTAGAGAGCGAATATAGGAATGGATAGACAAAAAATAAAATAAAAAGAAGAGGTGATAGGAAGTCCAACTCGAAATACGAAGAGAATAGGGCTAGGTTTGTAACGGAGCACCACAAGTGCTTTAGCAAAGTTGTAGGTTTTCATTTTTACCTAAGAGTTTCAAAAACCACTAATGATTTAAAAAATTGATAAGAGTTTTAAAAACCATTAATGATTTAAAAAATTAATAGGGGCTGTCATCCCCATTTAATTGCAAAAAACAAAAAAAAACAAAACACTTAAACTCGAAGCACACGACTTCGTGGGAGACTTTCCTCCAACTCTATTGCTTTTCTCTTTCTGACCCTTTTCCGAGCACACGTACCCTATATAATCTCTCTAGCAATGGCAATATGGCCGATGTTTATTCTTGCAGCGTGTGCACCTCCACATAGATTAAGTAATGAAGTCTAGAACTACTTTCCTTATCCTGCAAATTCCACATGGTCTCTTTATGCCGATTCCACTCTTTCAATCCTCGCCTCAGTCGTTCTCTCTCTCTTTCGCCCTTCAAAACAAATACAAAACTACATCCCCTTAGCAAATACCACCCCTTCTCTCTCTCTGCAACAATGGAAGAAATCCCTCTTGGTTACAGGCGTAACGTTGGCATCTGCCTCGTCAATGCTTCCAACAAGGTTCTCTCTCTTTCTCCCTGTAATGGGCTCTCTCTCTGGTGGGTTTCTCTCTCATCTCAAATTCATTATTTTTTCTTTATTTTTTTAGCAGATTTTGACAGCATCAAGGCTTGATATCCCTGGAGCGTGGCAAATGCCACAGGTATTGATCAATTTCTCTCTATGTAATAGAACATCGGGTTTTATTGATTAGAATTCATTCCTTAAGGGTTCATGAATGTGGTGGGGACATGTTTGTAAGGCCAAATTTTGGCATTCGGGGCCACATTTTTGCAACCCAACAAGAAAACAGAAGGGAAATTTTACGGGTTGATTTTTTTCTGAATTCTAATGGAATTTTGGGAACTTGGGGTCAGCTATATGACTGAATTATGGAGACTTCGGTGAAATTTGGTGTAAATGGGAGTAGGAATCCGGAAACCGTGCTTAGTGTGTGAGTTTTTAGGACTGATTTAGCTTGGGCTTCACTGTTTTGTTTTATTTTATTTTTTTTATCTTTTGGATTCAGGGAGGTGTAGACGAGGGAGAAGATCCCAGGCATGCAGCTTTCAGAGAGTTGAGAGAGGAAACAGGAGTGACTTCTACTGAATTTG